AAAAAAAAAAAAAAAAAAAAAAAAAAAAAAAAAAAAAAAAGTCAAGCCTGATTGAACAGCAGAAGAGCTACTTTTGCCTGTTTCACTACTGTATAAAGAACTTCTCCATTTACTCCAGTCCTGGTGACCTCACAGTCTCACAGTCCCTTGCTCCATAATGGTAGAAACTTTTCCCATTCATGTGTTTCTCACTCAGCATCCAGAAAATATATTATTTCTATATTGGCAGATTGTTATCTACTGGAAAAACAGAACAGGAGGTTTTTTTCAGAGGAGCGGGTTTCAGGACACAGACTAAGGTAAAAATTAATCATGTTATAGTACATGCAACAGGAAGGAGGAGAGAGGGAACACTGCTGTACAAACTCAAGCATCGATATGCAAACGCATTCGGCAGTCTAAGCCCTTTCCTACATTCATTCTTTTCTTTCTAATTGTCAAGCTCTGTTTGTTTTCTTTAATTAAAATCAACACGGAGAATAAGCAAAGAATAGGAAAAAAAAAAAAAAAGGAGGCAGTTGTGTTGGAATATACTGTACCTTCTGCAGTAAAGGCATCGACACACAAAAGACAGACAAACAAAAAGCCACATAGTGCCGGGAGCTTCATCCTTCCAACTAGTCACGGGACGTCTTCAAGGAGGCTGAAGCAGCGTTCAGGTCTGCCTCCAGCGCAACCTTACCTTTTTATAAGGTAAATCAAAAGGAATGCTCTCTTCAGAATGGGCGGAGATCTGGCCTTTGTATTGCACTTCAAGGGATGGAAAGGAACAGCCCTTCCTATTACAAGAAGCAGTTTACTCAAACCCAGTCAGCTGCGTCAGAGAGTGTCCTGCCAGCGCCAGGGGAGTACCTGGCTTTGAGCATTAGAACATGCCGGGATGCCCTGCTGCAGATTGTTCGTCCCGTGGCTCACAGAAGCCTCCTTGGGTGATCCTGGGTGCTCCCCTGGGTGCTCGGAGAGGCAGAGAGCACAGCTGAAATGAACCTGTGCGGACACTGACCTGAACTGAACAGGCAAGCCAAACCCAGAGTGTTTAAATCAAAGCAATTGCCAATGCAGCGGTAACATAATTAACAAGACAGCTGGTTAAGCATCAGTCATCTGAGTTTATTATTAACTTATCAGTATCTATCTGGATAATTAAGTCTGTTACAGATTCCAGTTAACAGTCATGATTAAGAAGTCCATCAAATTCAACACAGTATCAGGGTTCAGAGAGCATGCATTTTAAAAAAAAAAAAAAAAAAAAAAAAAAAAAAAAAAAAAAAAAAAAAAAAGTCCGTCACGCAGGGATCAACTGCAGACCTGAGTCTCTTAAATAAGGCAAAAGTTTTGGTGTGGCAGCATCTAATTCTCACAGCTTACTCCGACGACCTGCAGGTCTCAAACAGCAGAACACGCTGTGAGCTGTGCTGTGACCTGGCAGCGGCTCAGGCTCGGGGCTGCGGCAGGACAGAAGCTTCGTTCTGCTGCACAGACGCTGCCCTCCCCGCTCCCCCCGCCCCTAAATCACAGATGTTTCGCATTTCAGGTTTTGGATTTGGCTTGTTCCTCGCCCTGGATCAGCAGCCTTCCAAATCGGGTCACCCCTTTATCTACCAATTTTAGCCCCAAAAGCTTTTTTCTACATTCCTACCTAGCAACATCTCAACATTTTAAAGACCTCTAATACCTGCCAGTCTTTTTCTGCCAAGGCTGACACTAGCAAGGCGCTCGGATCAAATCACTACCAACACCTGACACAGACAGCATTATCGCCCAAGTGCTTTACGAACAGCCCTGCCTTCGCACCGGCACAGCTCAGCGGTCCAGCCCGGAGCGAGGGGTCCAGCCCACGTCCCTGCCAAGCTTCTCGGAAGGTACTCTCACCGTTCAGTCAGCGGTGCAGAGCAAGATGAATGGACAAGAGCGTCAGTGTTTTGATGACCTCAGGCTTCTTCTGAATAGTTGAAACACAGATGTGAACCCTCAATCTTGTACTTTTAAAAATCAACATTTTTGTTGGTTAAGAGAATCAATCCTTTAGAGAAGTTCTATGCTCCCCTCTAAAACAGGAACAGTCATTACTATTACTGAAGTAGATTTATCAGTTAAGTATTTTAAAAAAAGAACTAGCTACATAAAATATATAAACTAGAACTATTTACATAAACCAGTATTAGAGGAAGGAGTTTTTGATATCGAAACATCTCTGCAGTCCATTTTCTTAACTCCATCCGATTTACAGCTTCCACGTACCAGCAGAAATAGTACGTTGCTTCAGCTGAGCTGTAAATGGAGAAGAAAGTGTGGCGCTCATCGCTTTGAGCACAGAACATAACCTAGGCTGGCACGAACAGAACCCTTTCAGAGTGCCTTTCCTGAAATAATATTTTCCATTCGATCAGCAACTTTCCAGTTTAGCAGACCAAGGTGGATTTGTTACCAAAGAATTTCAAACTTGGGTTTGTGTTAATTCCATGCCACAGCCCATCCCACCCCAAGAAAACCTTTGAATGTATTTCTAGCCAGTCTCGCTCAGCAAAGCACTCACTCGGTTGTAACAACACAGCAAGTGACTTTCCTGTATAGAAAATCCCTGTGGTTTTGTTGAATCTTTTCTTTCCAATACCCAGTGAGAGATTCTGAGCAGTGACAGCCTCCCTGCACACACCGAACATCCGCACAGAGAGCTGAAAACAAGGAGACACAATCCTTGTCGAGGAAACAAGCAATAAAGAACCCAAACTGCACGTGTGGAACAGAGCTGGGGAGTGGAGCGGGCCAGCCGACTTGCTAAGGTTTGCTGAGATCTGGAGTGTCAGTGAGGCACATGGGGAAGGGTGGGAGCCACCCCTCGGCAGCATTCCATCAGGCTGTCGGAATGGTGGGAGCGCTGAAGCGAGGCCGTGGCTGTGACCACAGTATTTTATCTCCATTACACTTCCTGTGAAAGTTCTGGGCAAGCTCGTGCATACCCGGTGCCACTGCACCGCACAGACGGACCGCTGCGAAGGCAGCCCAGATACAGTGGAGATTCTCAGTATGGCTTTGATGACTGCAAAGGTAAAAACGGATATTACCTAATTCCACAGAACTCAACCCACTGCACTTTTAAATCTTGAATCAAGCATCACTTAAATCTTTAAGTCGTTAAATTTTCTACATATTTTAAGCCTGTGAAAACCTAGGAAATTAGAATATCCTAAATTTTGGTCTTGTTAAAGCCAGTGAGGCTTTTTCTACCAAGTTGACTCCGAGCCAAATTCTCCATTATACCTTTGGTGGGTGGTTTTGTTTGTATTTAGAATCCCAGGTCCTACTGAAACATCTGGGAACGATGGGGCAACAAGGGATGAATGTGTGGAATTGGAAAGCAAGAAAGCCAAGCACACGTTACTGTCCCTATAACGTGTTTTAAGATGTGCCACCACACGTGCTTCTAGGTGAATGAATTCGTCTTTTATACAGAAAAAAAAAATCGTGCACTGAACACATGATTGAAAGATTTTTTTTCCAGAAGCTGTATTGCTTTGGTTTTCCTGAACGAAAAAGAAAGGAAATGTCTTGCTTTACTGACAAGTCAATTTTGTGACAGCATCACCATATATAGGTGGCACCCACGTGACCAGAACGTTTTGGAAAAAAAAGCCTGGTTTGTAACCGAAAGTCTCTCTAATGATAAATAGTTAAAGCTCTCATACCAAAAGATCTCGTTACTTATTTTGACTGTTTTAAAGCTTTTTACTCCCCAAACCAGTTTTAGTTTCACTGATTTTAAGGTGGTTATTTCTGAAATTTACACTCAAGGTCTTCTCGTGCTCTCTCTCCCCCTCCCCACCGCGACCCCCCTGCCACCTCCAAGAATGACTCTGTTGATATCAGGGTTTCTTTGTTGATAACAAAAATAAAAAAGGAAAGTCACATCACTGAGTGCATCTCATCTCTGTCTCCTAAAATGGCAGCTGCCTCACCCAACTGGCTTCCTTCCTTAAACACAGGAATGAAAAAACCTCGTAAAAGGCACATCTTAACTCAAACCCACCAAGGCTTTATACCCAAAGACTTCATACCCATGGCTTTCTGGCACTGAATTGCCTTCTCTTCCTGTGCATGATAGAAAATAAAAAACAAATACAGAACCAGGTAAGAAGAGAAACAAGTTGCATAAGATAACTTCATCACCTGATGCTCCTGTCATTTCCAGCTAGGTTCATTTCATTGCCCTGGAAAAGCGTTGGAATGTCAAATGCACCACAGCTGCTGCCAACACCCACCTCAGAAGAAACCTGGTTTTCTTCCGAAATATTCACAGCAGAATACTGGCAACAGGAGTGTTTACAAAGACTTAGTTTTCTAAATAGAGACAACTCCACTGTAACCTTACCAGCCACCCCAAGGCAAGGAAGCTGCATGTGCTGCTTGGATGTGCGCTTTGTTTTCTGCTCGGAAGAGGCAGGCTGCCACTTGGTCTCCTCCGCTACGATAACCTGAGCCCTCCAGCTCCGGGGATGGGAAGCGGGACAAACCTCTGTCCTTACCACTGCGTGCCCCAGTACCTCACCCAGGGGAAACGGAGCCGGTGCTGGGAAGCTCTGCTCTCTGCCCAGGGGAGCAGTTTTACATGGTTTATGCTTCTGCCTTCCAGCCTGCTCTTGTATTTCTCAGCCTGAGTTTGGAGAAGCCAACCAGCCACTTAAGAACGACGGCGCCAAGAAGAGCACAAAGGGCTTTGCCAGATGAGCCTGAAGGATTGCCTGCAGGACTCCACGTCTGCTCGCACCAAGGGAGGCTGGCACCCCCCCAGCGCTGGCTGAGCAAACGGGAAGATGTTACCTGCAAAGTGTTTCTGCCCGCAGAGCAGAGCATCAGCGATCGCTACGCCAGAGCACGGCGACACTTTTTTTTCATGCTTTCTCTTTTCCAGCGTGTACAGGATACTCTCATCCGTTCTGCTGGAGACACGCCACTGTCCATAAGAGAAACTATCTTTAGTCTTACATTCTTTGATTCTTAACCTTTATTTCACGTATTCTACCCACACATAACCTCTGCCATTGCTGGCTGTGGCCCCGACTCGGTGTGCCTGGGCCAGCGATTAGGCTTATTTAGGTCAGCTTTTTAGGTATTTCCTCACCTGGGGTTCATAGCCACCCCCAAGTTCTGTCCCTTCAGTCTGTTTCCATACTGCTCTGTTCCCTTCTGCCACTCCCATGTGTTTCTCTCATCCCTCTGCCCCAGTCTTTTTCCTTTATTGTGACCTGGTAATAGTTGAACAAGTTTTTGTTGCAACGGTTCAACTGATTTTTTTTTTTTTTCCACTTAAGCTATTTTTTTCCAAGAAATGAGTCTGATTTTTTTTGATGTCACCAGCTCTACCCTTCTTTTCTCCCGCCCATTTCCAAGATCCTATGCAGGTGTTGGTTATCCCTCACCTAGGCTAGGATAAATGCCTGCCTTTACCACAAGGGCTGATTTTTCTTCCTTCCACTATTTACCCCTGCTGCTCCTTCCTAGGTCACAGAACAGCGGCAGCAGGAGGTGCCTGACTCCGTCTTTGTCAGAGCTCTTCCTCTGCCTTATGCCCTCGACTATGTTGCCTTCTTTTCCCAAAGGGCACACATTCACATGGCTATCAAACACGCTCTACCTAGTTCTGTAATTGCTCTTCTTGAGAGCACATTCATCTCATTTCTCACGGCTGCTCATTTTCCATTTCCGTCCTTCTCCGTGCTGCAGCCGGTGCTTCTGTGCTGTTAGTTCTAAGTACATGAGAAGGACAACTGGCACACCTCATCACGACCACAAAACTCCGTGGGATTTTTTTGCAGGTCCGGGCATGACCAATGATACATAAACAGAATATGGCTAAATTCCCCCCACCTTTTACAGGAATTCCCTATTTTGTGATGTATGCTAAGGAACACGAAAAACAAGGCATATGTTTATCCTGCAATTAAATTAAAATCCGATCCTAAATATTGACTACAACGGATGTTTCTAAGGATT